CTGAGCTCCAGCCCCACTCAGTGGAGAGGGGCCGGGGGCAGGCAGAGCCCTTTGGGAAACACAGACCCTGCCTGGGGCAAGGGGAAAGAGCAGAAAAAGGATGCTATAAATCACTAGGAAAATATCTCATTTCATCTGGCCTCTTTTCCTCTCCTCTAGCTCTCTCAGTTACTAGAATGCTGAAGAAAGACAAGAGAAGACAGTTTGGGAGCGACTATTTGGGAAATATTAACTCTTATTATTAATCCTTACTATTTGGGAAATAATAATCCTCTTTATTTTATTTCACCGCTGCAATCCCACTCCTCTATCACATGGCTTGAGATGCCCAGGCCTGGATCCCAACTCTTGACCCGCCCTAACATGCTGATCGGCTGCGATGTCCAAGCAGGAAGGGCCAGCAGCAGCGATGAAAAGTAAAATTCATCTATTCAAAAGTGAAACTAAGCAGGGACAAAGTGAGGGGCAGGAAAGGCAGGTGGCTCCGTGCCAACCATGTTCGCATTGGCCAGGTGCTCTTTGAAATCCCTTGGCTTATGGAGCATCTCCTCCCTCCTCCCGTGACACGGCACTGGCACAAGGGACTTCATCCTTTCCAGCAGATCGTGACCCTCTAACTCCCCTGGTTAAGCAGAGAAAAGGGCTTTTTAAAGCAAAATGTTTGGCAAAGCAGCTCCTTCCAGGTTTATTGGGATTTATACTTTTATATAAGCTTATTCAGTAAGTTCAATATTCCCCAATGTGGGCAAAAGGGCATTCCAACCTCAGGATTTTACTAGGATGTCAGAAAAGGCTGCGTCTGTCCCCTCCTTTGAAAGTGCCCGTGATGTGCGGGTAACTGCGCAGGTGAGACTGCCCAGCAAGAGGAAAAGTCCTTCAACAAAATGAAAACAACAGGAAAAAAAAAAAGATACCACGTTGTGTTTTTGGCTTTTATCCCTTTCAGCCTTTCACAGCTTCCCAGCAATACCAAACCGAGCTGCCAAGCAAGGGGTTGAGCTGCATCTCCTTCCCCATCTCGAGAGGTTTATTCACAGGCTTTGCACAAAGTCACATTCAAACCCCTGTGACTGGTCTGGCATAAACGACATTTTTCTGCACAGCCTGTTACGCCCCTGTTAGGCTCGCTCACAGCCGGTGCAGAAGGCAGGTTAGTAAGAGGCCAACACCATGCAGCTACTCGGAAACTGAGCAACAAAGCATACAGAGACCGGGAGAAATACAACAGGGGCTAAGCACTTCCCAGAGAGTAAAAATCCCAGGCATGCCTAAGAACCTAAATAGAAAAAGAGTTAAAGGTCAGCGAAAAATAAATTGCTCTACAGCAGAGAGATTTTCAACAGCTGAATTTAAGTTCATTTTATTTGTATTCCACTTAGTCTCTGAGTCGCCTCAGCAATGTAAAAAAAATCCACATCCTGCTCTGTGGCTTAATGCTCAGAGACAAAAACCAGCCAGCTGCTCGTCGGGTCAATGCATCGGGCTTAACAGAAAATGGTGTTATCATTAGCACTTTTGTTTTCTAGAAAAGCTGCTGATATCTCAGCTCCAAAGATATATTTTTTGCAGAGTTTTCTCCGGGCCCCTGACATCCCCCTGCTTGCTCCCAACCCGCAGGGATACTCCAGCTCCCGGTCCCTGCCAGCATCATCCCTAAGAGAGCACTGGGCTGCTCCCCAGTTAAACCACTAACTCCCAGCTGCTCCTGCTGCCTTTCTGTCTTTGAATCTCCCTTGCTTCAGATATTCATCCTTGCAGTGGTGAAGGCAGAAAACACAATATTCTACTCTGCTGCTGCAGTCAATTTGCAGAAAACAGTGGCTTGGAACAAATAATGGATTAATCGAGGTCCTTTTTTTAGGAGCAGAAATTTTAACACTGCGTTTCTGTCCTTGGGCGAGGAGGTGCGTTTGGCTCCCATCCTTCACTGAACCCCCTGGTCTTCGTGATGCCCAGTTCAGAAGCAGTTCCTGCCTGGCTGGCAGCTGGCTCACACTTCCCTGGGAGAGGGTCTGGAGGAGCAGGAGAGCCCCCTTAATGCAGGAGCTGGACTTTAAGCAGAAACAAACTCAGCTTAATTATGCACAGGGTTGGGGAACACACAGTAAAACTTCCAACTGGCAGTTAAAAGAGGTTTGAAAAGGCTTAATGCCATTTCTCCCTCTTCCTATAATACCATTATTATTCTGGTTCCCTTTAAAATAGAGGCCCCTAGACAACAGGGAGGTAAGATGTTAACTTCACTTATTAGATTTCACTACTTCTGCTAGCACTAATATATATCCTGTGATTTGGATGGAAGCTCATTTAGTATCAGCTTCAAAAGCTTTATATTCCAAGTAGACTTTGCATTCAACAAATTACAGGTTATTTCAACCCATCCTCCTCTTTTACATCTTTTTATATCAGAAAAGTAATGTGCAGCGCTCTGAACACAACCTTTTTTTGCATCTGAGCTTTCCGAAAGGCTTCATAATGTGTTCAACCCGAATGTAACCCTGCAGCTGTTGTAACCGAGTTGCTACAAAAAATTAAATAACCAACCATTAACGCTAATTTGTTAAAGCCCATCTAAAAACCCCAAAAAACAGCTTCGATGTGAATTGTGTTGCAGGTAGCTCCTCCAAAATGAAATGCCTAAATATCTCATTAATCATGACAGCAACCCCTGCTGCTGGCATCCAACTGACATTTCATTCGATTGCGATAAAATGCTTTCATCAAATCACTTTCCAGAGGCTCAGCGGCTGATTTAGCCACAAGACCACTCGGAGGACGGCTGCTAATGGAAATCACAGGGAGCGGGTCTGGGATGCTCAGGTCAGTCTTGTGATTAGGGCTGTGGGTTGTTGTTTTTTTTTTAACGAGCCCATACCAGCCAAATCACTGGCTGCAGTGGGTGTAGAAGGCGAGGGAGGAGAGACACCCCTGCACTTAACGCTGCCCTGAGCAGTCAGCAGAGACCTGACTCCAGCACAGCCTGCCTGTCCCTCATTTCTCACCATGCCAGGGTGAAATCCAGGGAAGCAAGGTCCAGCCCTGCCTAGCTTGAGGAGCTGAAGCCCTCAGAGCATCCGGCACTATCCTGGCAGTAACAAAAATAATCACAGGAATACCCTTGAGGTGATCAGACAAGGAAAAGCTTGGAAGTATAATTGCAGACCAGTAGACTTCAGAAGTCTATCATTGCTCACGAAAGCGATGCTCAGTCGATGTAAGGCTCAAACAGGGGGAAACGCAGATGCGTTTTTGTTCCAGTTTCATACCAAAATTTTTGTGAAAATTACATGGTGCTGCTGCCTGCCTGCCATAAACTACATCCAGCCAGGCTAGAAACTGAGATGCCAGAGAACTCCTACCTGAATACATCCTCTGTCCTTCTAGGCTCACCCAAAATAAGCAACAATCTCACGGCAAAAGCCACTAGCGATGAGAAAAAGGGTCTTTTACTGAGGCCAAGATACACACCAGTTACGCAGCACTACGGTGGGTAACTGTAGCTCACTCTGAAACAGCTGAAGTAGCAATTCTGTGCTTTTACCAATAGATGGACTGGTTGCCAGCATCCACGCGCTGAACTGTTTGAAATACTTGCAACAAAGCTCAGTGCATCTTACTTTTACATGAACTCTCTGTCAGCCACTCATCACTGCGGGTAGAAGCGTTCTCTGAGCATGTAACCCAGAAAGCTGGAGACCAACCTGGCTTCTTCACTGCAAACCTTCTGAAGGCAAAACCTGCTTGAACTGAACTCCTGGTGGGATCCTCTTCATGCATCAGTTACGGCTGCAAAAGGAGGAATGACTCTTTAGAGCTGCTCTTCCTTGTGCAACCCCCCTTGGACACTGATTTAGTGTTAATAAAAAGGGGAAGATTTGATGAAATGCCTGTCTGTAAGACAGAGGTGCTCTCCAGCAGAGAGAGAGTGCACAGAGCAAGAGAATAAATACTCTTTTTATTATCTGAGCTATATCTGCTTTGTAGGGGGAAATCAAGCACCATTTCTCTTGCAGTGCTCACTTATAAAACAGAACAAGCATGTCTGCGATCTGTTACGGTCCTGAAGCTGTAGCACGGTGCCTTTGGGACTGCAGGAGACCAAAGCAAATGAACAGCATAAGCAGGCAGCAAATACTGCTCTAGGGTGGTCTGAAATGCAAGAACCATTCCCATGGGGGTGGAAGATTTTTTTATTAAAGCACCTAAAGCATCAGATCAATCACTGATGCCTTCTGCCTTGGGATGCAGAAGAAGAGACAAAAGGATTTAGCCCACAGGGACCTTGTGAGCATCATGTTAAGAAAATCTTTTCTTGGAAGCACTATTTTACAGTGATGGTGGTCAAATACTGGCATAGGTTGCCCAGGAAAACTGTGACATCTCCATCCTTGGAAGTAATGAAAACCCAACTGGACACGGTCCTGGGCAATCGGCTCTAGCCGACCCTGTTTGAGCAGGGCAGGAGTCTGGACAATTTCAAGAGGACCCTGCAAACCTCAACCATTCTGTGAAATAGACTCAATATCCTTTTACCTACGGTCAGGTGAAGAGGAGAGCCATGAGCAGGTCCTGCTCCCGTGGGGCAATTCAGTAACCGTGGCGCCTTGTTCTGAAGCAGTATTTTTTAAAGTTTGATCCTCGTACAAAAAAAAAAAAAAAACACCACCAAAAAACACAGGTAGTCGAAATAAAAGCCTCAGTCACTAAAAATCTCTGCTGCCACGTTTCAGAAACACACCCTCACGGAAAAATGTTTTGGACTCTGGTAGCACCAGCGCTCACCAACTCAAGTCAACGCACAGATGTATTTAAGAAGATTCCAGCTTCCATGGGTCAAGCTGCAAGAGAGAGATGGGTTCTCAGGCATCCCAGCTAGCAACAAATGCCCAGTACCAAGAAAAGATCATGTAGCCAACAGGCTGCAAAATGGGCTTACAATGACATTC